TGCTGCATGCAATCTTTCCGGAACAATTGTGCGTACGCTTTAGAAACCATGGTAATAATTCAGTTCCCATAGTAAACCTATGCTAACACCTTGATATTAAAAAAATTCAATATCTTAAAATTTCTGAGTGCCCATGATCAAACCTATATTTATCAGTATAGATGAAACCTGGATGTCCGCAAGGATATACTCTATTAAATGTTCCCATTTTTCCATACCATTTGTACCGTGTGCCCTTTAGACACATACCGGTAAATGGCAACAGCCATATCTAGCGCCAAATTACAAACTGCCACAGGATAGATGATTGTGCTATTTACTCCACGTTGATTTATGGACCTAAAACGTTAGTATCAAGTTTGCTATATTACTGAGCAAATTTGTGTAAAATTTACACAAAAAAAACCAGTGCTTGATCAAAATTAATATTTTTTTTACTTATTTATTTTCATAAAGAAATACAGTTTTTTCTTGATATGAGAAAAGGAATCGTAAACAGACATTGACCAGCCCTGCTTTCAGGCTTTTTAAAGAACTGCATTTTGGGTTAAGCTTATGATTGGTATAGATGCACTTTATTTCATTCTTGTCTAGTAGAATTGTGAAATATTGTTGAAATGACGGATGACGTCAGAAATAATTGACTTTGAACAATAAAAAATGAATATTTTCACGAGTTTATAACCAAGATATCATAGAAATGTTTGACGTTCACATGGCAATGCAACCTTTCAAACATTTATTATTTCTCACTTCCTTGTTATTCCATCTGTATTTTGAGGGACTGGGCAGAGTGTCCAATTGAGTTGAAATGATTGGATAGTTTTGTATTTTGAATTTTTTCTGACATAACTTTTGAGATTTTGCTTTCTTTCCATAAGACCGGCTCTTTTGACTACATATTTTATCGCACAAATATTGCAAGCAAAGATATAAACGATATTTTAACTGACACATCCTAATCTTTGGTATGGCAACTCCTTAAGTCCTGAAATTAGTAGTCTCAGAAATTTACATACAGATTAGACAGTACAACGTCTAGTTTCACATGTGTACCTTCCTACTTCAGCACTGTGATTTAAGTTCACCTTATTACATACAGTTTAGTCTTCTTAAGTTGTTAAGTGGTTCTACGATGATCAATAATTTGACAATGTCTTCTGATAATTTGTTTTATGCCTGGGACACCTGGATGGTATGTTTTTGCTTGGGGAATACAGTTGTTGGCAATTAATTGCATGCACTTTGTATTAGAAATCACTAATTTTTTTTCACGAGTTGGTTTCTCTTAAGAATTGGAATAACATGCGGAACAAGAGGTGTCAGGTAGTAGTCTCTCTCTCTCTCTCTCTCTCTCTCTCTCTCTCTCTCTCTCTCTCTCTCTCTCTCTCTCTCTCTCTCTCTCTCTCTCTCTCTCTCTCTCTCTCTCTCGTCTTATACACTCTCTCATGTCTTATAACTGTCGTAAGTTCCAACCCTTTCTTTCTCTATTTTATCAAAATGCAAGTAGACATCCATGCAGGAAGGCTGCCAGTTAATTTTCATAAACTTAAAATATATGAGGCTGTACTAATAGTTTGGTTCGATCTCATCATCTTTTAACATGATACAATTCAACTATTCGATTAACGTATTACACTGCAAAGAAGCTACCTTCAACTGCCAAATTAGACCCATGTATTTGCCCTCGCCTGGCTCATAAAGCCATTCCACTGTTCAATCTAACTAAATACAGATCTCTCCTGCTGTACGTGGAGAAATGATGGACACCAACAAGAGGTCATGTTCAAGCTTTTACATTTTTGAACGAGACACGCACGATTCGGAACATGTTGTTACTAACGAAAACTCTTCGTAACTCTAAATGCAACGATTTTATCTGATATGCTACTAAAACGTAGCTGACCTGGAATTCTAAAAGTCACCAGGATATTAACTTTTATCGGTTTCTGTCAGGTCTCCACGTATGACCATGGGTATTTGATTTTAATTAGATCGTCTCATTGCTTGCACAATGTATTTACTATAGACCTGCATAAATGTTCTTTATCAGTTTTTATTGGTATCGAATTGTCTCATAAAGCTGTGTTTTATCTAATTTATCCATCATTAAACAGAGCGTTAAAAACGAAAAGTGACACAAACTGAGAGGGACTTCAGGTTAAAGTTCGGTGAAATTATTTGTGTTGCTTTGCAACATCATCTTCAAAAAAAACCAGTTAACTGAATATAAGCTATACGTTTCAAAAGTGTCTGTTCTCAGTTTACTCCTATCGACTAACTTCCTGTACCTGTGCAAAGCTGAAATTTCACCGTGAATAAAAACAATAAATAATACCAAAAAATGTGATTGCTAAATATCAGATTCCATAGCCTCTTCAACTTATGTCATTGACAACATACACAGCCTAGTTGCCTAAGCCATGAATAAAATTTACGCCATCTGCGGCAACTTTAAAGACATAAACTGAACATTAAAGTCAAAAATGTTTTTTTTTTCCCCAAGGTAAGCATATACCTATATAGTTCATTAATCCCGTATTTATTTATATGTCAATATTTTGCTTAAAATAGAGGCTAATATGATTCGAATTAAAATACACGTCCAGTTCAATGCATTTAGCTTATATTTTAACAAATATAAGTTGTGCTTACTAATCATTCAACAACAGTTACAGGAATAGCTCAGTACGTGCCGGCTAAAATTAAAGCTCGATGAAAATTTATTGATCGTACCGAGAGGAAATTGAGACGAAGACATCAGCGAGTCAGCGTGAATATTTAATAGTAAGTGTATAATCTAAGTGTGTGATCAACGTAACCAAGACACCTAACTACGTAACAGTGTTTACGTGAAATGTTTATTGGTGCATTTCAACTGTGCGTCAGTGGCTGTCCGTCAAGCAAACAGAAACTTAAAGCAGACTCTTAACTAGAAGGAAAGGACAAGAAAGTACTTGATAACGAGATTACTGCAGCACAGTCACCTCTTTTGACAGATTCTTTCAGGTAGGCAATTCATATAATTTTTTTAATAAATAAGAGATTTATATTTTTTTAAAACAGCTGAATATATTATATTACAACACCAAAAAAGAAAATAAAATGACAGATACTAAAAGCTTTCCACCATCATATGTATGTATGTATGTATGTATGTATGTATGTATGTATGTATGTATGTATGTATGTATGTATGTATGTATGTATGTATGTATGTATGTATGTATGTATGTATGTATGTATGTATGTATGTATGTATGTATGTATGTATGTATGTTTTCTGTTTTCTCTTGAAAATAGTTTCTGTTGGGTCATTTTCGTTATTACATGATCATCATTTAAGCATTGAAACTGTAAGGGGACAATAATGAATATGTAACAACCGAATCATGTCAGAACAAATATAATGGTGTAATGATTGTCATTAGACCCTCGCATTTAGAATATATTTTCTGCCTCACTTAATAATTATGATATCCTGTATCTACTACAGGGGAAATGCAAAATATATGTCTCGTCATAAAAAATAATTATTTTTAGAACCTTCATCAATTGGATTAATATAATCATTGGTATGCATCGGCGTTGCATAATTCCACCCGAGTCAGAATTTTGGGTGAGACGCAAGGCTTCGCCGAGTCCCGGCGCAAAAGTATGATACCTAAAGGTGGAGTTTTTCTATCCTACACTTAAGTATAATGAAGGATTCCATTTCTCACACTTCTGAATGCAGAATGATGAACAACGTAATACTGACGTATTGTTAATACCGGTGTAACTTTTAAAGAGCAAAATGCCCCCCCCTAAAAACAGAGCGTAAATGTTAGGTTTACATTGAACTGTTTATTTAATGTAAACTTTCAAAGACGTTAGGTTTCAAAGAACAGTGGTTGAGACAGTCATGCTGATTTCAATACACTGTATCTGAAATTTGTATTGATGAAAGCTGGCGGAATGATACAAATGTAAACAGGTACTGAAAAGGTTCACTTTATCAATAAGATTAATCCAGACAAAGGAAAAGAATGAGATAGTCCTCGATTCAAAGTTTACTTACAAATGATTTACTATCATGTATATATGAATTTTGAAACATTTTTACTCGAACTTGCACTAAAAAAAACTATACGTGTGTAGGTCAGTCAGTGCGAATCGGCCTCTCGTTGGGACATTTAAAGATCCACTAACCACTGTTCGATTTAGTACATAGATGTGTTGCAATTATTATTTATCCTCTCGTGTGTGTGTGCGCGTGTGTGTGTGTGTCAGTGTGATTTAGAGTTTAAATGCAGCTTTAACAATTTTTCATTGATTTTTTTAATTGATACGATGTCTGCAGTGTGGCATTTGTTGGTAATGTCTAACACTGGACATCATCCCACAGACATGTTGCATATGGTCCCACCTATTCTCATTATCATGACACCAGTTATATCACTGACCTCTTAATGCTGAGCACCAAGCGAGATAGCTGCTAGCTAGTACCATTTATACAAGACTTTGGTATGACACGACCAGGGTTCGAACATGCGACCTACCGCATCACTTGGACCACCGGTGCTTTTCAGTATTGTGAAAGAATACTCCAGTGATGATGGAAATCAGGACAGTTTTGCGAATTTGTGTGCACTATGCTCACAACAGACGGCCAAAATAGACCGCAAGTCAAGATAAAGGTCATGTGATTGGCAGGAATGAGCTATTATGCACTGGTATTGTACATTGGTAAGCAAGATCGTACACATATAGGTAATGTAATTATGTGATTATGATTTTTAAAATATCTTTAACAATTTTTCAGTCATATCGCTACGAAGTCTGCAGTGTGGCAGTTTATAGTGATGTTTAGCACTGGGGCATCATTCCGCAGACATGTAGCATGATGTCCCACCCAGTCACATTATCCTGACACCAGGCCGACCAGTCCTAACACTAACCTCTAAATGCTGAGCGCCAAGCGAGGAAGCTGTTAGTACAATTTTTGTAAGCCTTTTGTATGACTCAGCCGGGGATCGAACCCACGACCTACCGCATCTGAGGCGGACGCTCTAACCACTAGGCCACCGGAACGGTCTACACATATAGGAATGTGAGAAAAAAGGATATGGCACACCAACATGGGAAGCATAATATCACACCATAAAATATATGCAGTAAGTCGCGCCATGAAACATATGCAGTATGTCATACCATAAAATATGAGTAGGGTAACGTCACATCATGAACGATCTGCAGTGTGTCATACCATAAAATATGAGTAGGGTAACGTCACATCATGAAAGATATGCAGTATATCATACCATATAATATGAGTAGGGTAACGTCACATCATGAAAGATATGCAGTATGTCATACCATAAAATATGAGCAGTATAACGTCACAACATGAAATATATGCAGTATGTCATACCATAAAATATGAGTAGGGTAACGTCACATCATGAAAGATATGCAGTATGTCATACCATATAATATGAGTAGGTAACGTCACATCATGAAAGATATGCAGAATGTCATACCATAAAATATGAGCAGTATAACGTCACATCATGAAACATATGCAGTATGTCATACCATAAAATATGAGCAGTATAACGTCACATCATGAAAGATATGCAGTATGTCATACCATAAAATATGAGTAGGGTAACGTCACATCATGAAAGATATGCAGTGTGTCATACCATAAAATATGAGTAGGGTAACGTCACATCATGAAAGATATGCAGTATGTCATACCATATAATATGAGTAGGTAACGTCACATCATGAAAGATATGCAGAATGTCATACCATAAAATATGAGCAGTATAACGTCACATCATGAAACATATGCAGTATGTCATACCATAAAATATGAGTAGGGTAACGTCACATCATGAAAGATATGCAGTGTGTCATACCATAAAATATGAGCAGTTTAACGTCACATCATGAAACAGTTGCAGTATGTCATACCATAAAATAAAAGCAGTGCAATGTCACATCATAAAACATAAGCAACATAATGTCAACCACGAGACATAAGCAGCATGTCACGCCATGAACGAAAAAAATATAATAAACGGTATAATGTCAAACCATAAAATATAAGCAATTTAATGGCCCACCATAAAACATAAGCAATTTAACGTCACATAATAAAGTAGAAGCAGTACAATGTCATACCATAAAACATAAACAGTATCATATCATATCTTAAAACATAAACAGTATAAATGTCACACTATTAAACATTAAGAGCATAATGTTACACCATCAAACATAAGCAATTTAAAGCCACACCATAAAATATAATCATTATACCTCACACTATAAAATATAAGCAGTATAATGTCACACCATAAAACATATCAGTATGTTACGCCATAAACACAAGCAAAATAATATATCTCTGATGTTAAATAAAAGTCATTTTCTTGTCAGATTTCTGAGAATAAATGGTAGAATTATAAAATAACAATAACAACAAATTCCGTAGTTTTAAAACTAAAGCTTATTATAGTACATATGACCTTAAGATAGCTTCAAAGAGTTCAGAAACTTTTCAACAAAAAATATAGGAAATACAAAATTTCTGTGCACAACTAAAAATTTTTTTTTCAAATTTGTCAATTTAATTTTGTACCAAACAATAAACCCTAAGATTAAAATTTAAACCATTTTTTGATATATTAAATTATATGGATATAAAGGTATAATTCAGTGAATAGCACAGTACTAAAAGGTCGCCTTTGAATGAGATTATTTATCTACATGACAAAAAATGTATTTATTGAATTAAATTGAAGACCAATGTTACAGACATGAGCTTACACGTGAAGACAAATCTAACTTGCAGAGTGTCACGTGCTCATTTTGAAATAGTCTTAAACTAAGTATTATGTCCTCCTGCACCGTGTGGTTCGGAGGAAGGCCTTGTGTTCGTCTTTCCCGTGGCGTCCACGAGATGGCGTTTATTGGATGCCGAGATATTGGTTGCCGGAGTATGTAGCCTGCAAAACGTAGCCAGCGCTCTGTCACAATGTCGTTGTGAGGGCGGGTGCCTGTTCGCTGGTGGATCTCTTCATTTGTGATGTGATCATTTGGACATTTTGACCTTGTGCCGCATATTAAACATAAGATGGTCCCTCAAATGGGTTATGCTTTAATATTAAAATTATTGAATTTATGAACGAATTGAATAAAAGTCCAACTTTTGCGAGCCCTGGCAATAAAAATCTGGACATTATTCAACTAGTACAATTACTTTGATATTAAACCGTTACCACTTGGAGAGTATGTTTATTACACCGTTTATATTGTAATGGAAACTGTTTAGAGAGAAATAAGGAATAATCTGACTCAGACTGCCCCATTCATTCCTTGAATGTATAAAAATATTCCCGACGCTAGCAAAAAATGAACATTTTTGTAACCATTAAAGCTATTGTGGCTTTTTCACAATTCTAATTTTAAGAGTAACTGGCCTTCTTTGAAAACTCCGGTACAGCTTGAAGTTGAATGATTTTACTAGTGTTCGTTAAGGCGGGAGACACTGTTGGTATATATATATATATATATATATATATATATATATATATATATATATATATATATATATATATATATATATATATATATATATATATATATATCGATTATAAATGTTTACAATGTCTTAACTTAAAGTGGGTCAAATCCACTACTAAGCATTGCAGTTGTTGGATATTTATGCGAAGGAATGCTTACTGGAGGAAGCAATTCAACATTTAATGTATTAATGACCAGATATTTGCATTATTGGATTTGAAACAGAACTATTGACAAAAACAATTTGATTTAGAGTTGTATACGTATCATATAAAAGGAAACAATTGCTCGTTGGAATTTACCGCGAAAGAAAAATTTGTTTAGAAAGCATTTCGTAAATTGGGAGACGGACAAATGTCATCATTTTTTTATAAACTGAGATAAGTTTATTTACTCATTTAAGTTATCATTTAAATCACGCTCTATTCATGCTAAGGATCCCCCTTTGCACGGTTCATTGGCCAATATCATTAATTCTATTTGTATCAAGTTTCTGGTAAATTGACCATGTTTCGACAGACATTATTTTACTAATTGATTTTTTAAAAATGGTTTTAAAAATGTTGATAATGTGCTATAAGTTAACATTTGAACCACATTGTATTATTGTCTTAGGTTTCCTGCTACAAGTTCCTTTGCCCTCCAAGACCGCTTTCCATTTACTGATACCATGGGTTATATTTGTAACCAGCCCCTGTAAAGTAAATTAGTCATATTCCTACAGACATGACCTTTTTCCCAATGATACCTTGGGCAAAATTCGAAAATTGACGCCAAAATGTTAACTGTAACACAACAAAAGTTTCAGAATGCAGGGGTAACAAAAATTTCCACTGTCTTATCAGATCAGTAAAGAAAATGCTGCGTAAAAATTTGTGCGGCGTATTTCCATCAGTCAGACTCACATAAATGAGCCTGGGTGGGTACCACATCTAAATAAATATTGGGAACACCCTACCCTAACTTTTTACAAACCATACAAGGGTATAACGAAACTGTCACACAAACTGCACTCATTATGGGTAAATAAGTACCGACCTTTGATAAAAAGAAGTATTTACATTTTATTAGCACCATTTAAAGGAATTATTGCACCAGACCGCTAGATATGATAGATTATATAAAATTGGTAAACTTATGTAATCTAGTCTAGATCCACAGCATTATTTAGAATATTCAAGTTCGTTTACTTTCAGTACATCTGTTCTAATACTTCTGTCACCAAACACATGGATATTCGCCATGCCAGGACATCAAAAAACGCAAAGTTCTCTGAAGTAGAGTGGCATCGTCTAGAGATAAAGCCAGTGTGAATCTACTGCGTCTCTTAGCTTGGGGTTATTAGTTAATCATAATATGTGTGTTTGTGTGTGTGTGTGTGTGTGTGTGTGTGTGCGTGTGAGAGAGAGAGAGAAAAAAAATTTGGATTTTTAATTTAGCTTTAATATTTTTTCAGTCGTATCGCTACTGTGCCTACAGTGTCAGTTTATTATGATTTCTAGCACTGGGGTATCATGCCGCAGACATGTAGCATCATGTCATACCCGATCATATTATCCTTACACCAGTACGACCAGTCCTAACATTAACCTCTTAATGCTGATCGCCTAGCGAGGCAGCTTTTAGTACTATTTTAATAAGTCTTTGGTATGACTCAGCCGGGGTTTGAAACAGAGACCTACGAGATCCGAGGCGTATGCTACAACTATTTAGACCACAGGAGAAGTCCCTCTCAGACTGATATTGCCCTCGTTATCCATGTTTTGATAAAGGAAGGGCAGAAGTAGTATCGGTTATTTGAGATTTCAAACTCAGAGGGAGCCCTATCCCACAAAATGTTATACGTTAGCATTTTGTCAATAAGCTTTGTTTAGCTCAAAATTATGACTTTCATATGAAAAGGCTTTTCGAACATATTTCTGACAAAATATGTTTTGTCGTGGTTGGAGTGTCTCTGATATAGGAACCACTCAATTACCAATATCACTATTACAGCCATATACTTATCAGCCAAAATAATATTTTATTTTTAAGACAAAAGTTAGTGTTAAACAATTGAAATATTATATATAACGTTCTTTTGCCATTCGATCCGACACGTTGAGTTTGATTTAACAAACAAATGTTGTAAGAGATTTAATTCCATCAAATCAGCATCAAGATATACTGGTATAAAACCTAAATAATAAGCGATTGTATTTTAAAAAGGGTTGGTTACTATATATCACCCAAATATGGATCAGTATGTTTATTCTAAACCTACATAAAATTAAACATCTACTATTGTGATCCTTTTTTATTATAATCTTTTCACACCTGCTAACTTTCATTTGGTAGAATATCTGTTAACATTTTGTCAATAATACGGAACTCGCGTATTAAATCGTCCACATAATATTTTATTCCACGCAAATAAGATGGTAACTGATCAAGTATTTTTTAAAGGTGAAACTTGCTGTCTTAAAAGCATATGTTTAGTCGCGAGTCGATGCTCGCTTTTTA